TTCCCTATGTGTTTATAACTGCATGAGCTAGATTTGTACAGAAACTTTGAAAAAATCCCCATGGCTGTCATATTCATAAGTCTTTCTCACCCATTTGGACAGATGTTAGTATATTACTTGAAGCATACTATAAAACTTACCTTTCACTTATGGAAATAAATGTACTTATATTTTGTTCCCCAAAAAGCAAATAGACACCATGAGACATAGGATAGTAATAAACCTTTGGACACCGAGATGTAAAATGGAGTGTATGAGTTCTTGAAAGAGCAATTAAATACATTTTCATTTCAACAACTGAAGATGAGGAACTAAAACAGATGGGCAGGGGTTAGACTAAATGAGAGAAAAATCAGTTTCATCATGCCTCTTGGCATTCTAGCCAACCAATTTACTCTGTAGTATATTATAGTAAATCAGATCTAGTTTTGCATTTCAGTCCTTGATTTATTCTTTTCTGAAGTAAAAACTGAAAAAAAAATGCAAAACTTTTCAGTGGAAATTTCTGGAACCATCAGTGAAGAGGCTCTAGCCATGCCATTATCAACAAAATTATTCAATTTCTTCTTGGAAATAGGTAGGTTATAAATAATAAATAAATTACAGATAGGACTAGCAAAGAATTCCTGAAAAACACACTGCATGATGAGATGTCATATTATCAAATATCTTTCAAAATCTTGAAAGTGGAAAAAAAAAGGCATATTGCTTGCTTATATCCTGGATATAACCTGCCCAAAATATATCTTCACTAGAAGTCAAGTTGAACTGTGAAAACAATGATGAACTAGGGTTCAGTGGAAAGGGCACCTTTGTGTTGTTCACATCTTTTAATAAAATTAGGAATTGTTTCTAATACTTGTTTTTAATATAAACTGAACTTGAGATTCTAATCTGAATTCGTGCTTTGAAGTACACATTTATTTTAATAAAGTACCATGAATATTTTGACAATATAGGATTTCTCCCCTTAAGTGTGATCACCAGAACTCTCCTACCCCCAAAGTACCCATAGTCCATTGGTATCACACATTTTAAATTTGGGAAATGATAGCAGTTATCTATTGCTAAATTCCATCATTTAAAATGAATGACTGTATATATCTTCATGATCTCATAGGTTGGCAATTAGGACCAGACTCCATTGAATCGTTCCTTTGTTGTTGTGTCTGGGAAGTCCCGATAGCTTCTTTCCTACATGGGGCTGCAGCTTGAATGGTTGGGCCTGCCATCCTCTCACTTAGGTTGCTTCTCTTCCTCAAAGAGGATAGTCTGGGATTCACAAGTCTGCAGGATTCCAAGAATGTGAAAGCCGAATCTGCAAAACCCCTTGAAACTGAGGCTTATGAATCACACAGTGTCCCTCTGCTATGCCCTGTGGGCCTGGGTGGTTCATATAGGCAACTAGATTCAAGGGGACACCACCTTCTAAAAGGCGCAGCAAAGAAGCAGTAACTGTTTTTAATCCCACCCAGAAACAATCATTGCCTCTGTCTGGCCAGTAACCCAATTGTGCTCTTTCTTTATGTAATATTTTGTGTCACTTTTCTTCTACTTCTTTGTCCCCATTCCAATAACAATTTCCTGGGTCCAAACTGAATCACCTCATGCAGGTATCCTAACAGTCATCTCTGGCATCAATTCATCTCTGCCTCTCCAATCACAAGACAATTTTCTCTCTAACCATTGTTTTTAAAGATTTATGCATACAAGAACTGGGGTACAGGCCAGCGGTGTTGGGGGTGAGAGGATTCACCAGAGACAGAGTGGGGAACAGAACAAGCAGATCAACTGAAATACAAGGCTGAGGAGAGCAGTGGGTGAGACAGGAGAGTCCTGCTGCACAATGTGGGTAGCTACCTGCCTGGCTGGGTATGGAACTCATGCTGCAGAGGCTGCGGATAGTTTCATGGGTTGTGTCTTAACCCCTTGAGCCACTAGGGAGCCCCTATTAACCATTGTTTTTAATTCTGTTTTCCTGCATCCTACATCTTGTGGGTCTCCATTTCCTGTCACATACCACATTCTTACAGTCAGACATTTTCTGTTGTTCCCTGCCTCTCCTACCCCCAATAACCTGCAGAATATTTTTTGCTCTTTCACAAAGATAGTTATAAACAAATATGTACTGGTTGTTTACTATGTACAAGACCCTTTCCTGAGCTCTGTGACCAAAGATGATCAAGGTCTCTTCTGAGTAAGGGTGTAAAGTGAGGGATAAACTATATGTAAATAAAGGGACAAGGTAACACATTCCCACTAGATTGTAAAGATAACAAGATAAAGGGGACCATAATTGCAGTCATAAGGACCTTCCTCTCTGAGGGAGTACCTGAGCACTTGACCTGAACTATCCAAGATGTAAATACATAGGAGAAAATGGTGGAGAAGTGTTCTAAGTAGAGGAGACAGCAAGTAAATTAACCTCTTGCTCCTTTTAGAATCAAGTACCCCTAAAGTTTATATCTGGGCCAGGGGCTCTAAGTCCTGACTGCATTATGATAAGATCATCTGAAACCTTTCAAAAAATCCTAATGCCTGGGCCTTACCACAGACACATCAAGTCAGATTCTCTGGACCTGTGGAGGAAGGAGAATCTGGATCTCTATATTTTATAAATCCCTATGTGAGTCTAATGTGCAACCAAAACTGAGAGCCAATAATCCCTGGCAGTGCTTTCCAAACTTCAGTGTACAGAGAACATGAGTTCATTTTGAAATGCAGATTTTGATTCACTAGATCTAGAGCAGGGCAATTCTAATTATGCATTTTTTATCAGCTCCCAGTGCTGCCACTGGTTACTACTTAGAGTATGGTACACAGACCAGAAGTACCAGTATCCATAGGGGAGCTTGTTAGAAAAGCATTTCTCAGAGTATCAGAAACCAGTTGATTCAAGCACGTCTTGAATTGAAAACAGAGGGTTTGGCACAATCTTCTGCAGTTTAAGAAAGTCCTTCAGATGATTCTGAGATCTACTAAAGTTGAAAACCAGACTGTGTCAGTGTTTACAGATAACCAGCTTAGGACATACTTATGTTCTAGGTTACTTTCTGTAATTGTTTCATGTAGACAGATCTGTTGAAGTTTCTCAAACTCTTGCATTGAACTGAGGGTATGAAACCACAAGACTCTATTCCTTAATTTGTATGCAAATTCTCTTTTATTCTGTTTGGGACAAGAAGGAGTAGTACATCTCTAGTTCCGGATTTCAACTGCTATCTCCAAAGCCCTTGTTTACTTAGATTCTCAGGTGCCAGGAGATTGCAAAGCTCCTGCAGGTGACACTGTACCATTGCAGGTGTCACCTGTAAGGAGCTGATTTATTGAAAGTCCTGCTGGGGCTGTTTCATCCCTGTAAAGGGATATTGTAACTCACCTCTAACGGCCATCCTATCAAAAAACCACCCTCAGTACTACTTCTCTTTGTTTACAAGCTTTGGTTAATGGTTTCCTCCCCATTACACAGCTCAGGGGAGTGCTGTTTAGAGAACTAATTGAATTCTTGCCAGTTTTGGCATGATCCAAAGTTACTCCAAATCTCAGTATTTTCTATGTTATTTATTTTCCTCTCTCCTAAAAGGTGTATAGCTTTGATACCTTTATCTGCAGAGTATAAACTAGAAATTATAAATGTATGCATGAGTGCATATCATAAATAGAGCAGTGTGCACTCCTTGGCAAGGTGAAGATACACCTCATTATTTTGTGATGCAAAGAATAAAAAAAATTGTTTTGAACTAAAACATTCCTACTGAATATGCATATTGTTAAATCCTCCAAAAGAATCAATATATTTTAATTTTAGAAGTTATACCACAACTTATGAAATTAATTCAATAATGAAGAGAATCCTTTTTTCTGTCCACCAACTTCACAAACAACTCCACCACCATGAAATTTTAACAGCCCCTCTTTCTAGTCATTGAAAAGACTAGATAGAACATTAGCACTCTTGGCTACTTAAAAAATTAAACTTTCCTGGCACTTAGCAATTATTTATCTACAAGACTGGACAAGGGGCCTCCCCAGTGGCGCAGCAGTTGAGCGCTAGGTTGGGAAGCTGCCCGCAGCCTCTGCAGAAACGGTTCGATCCCCAGCTGCTCCCCGGCCACTGGAGGAGGGTCCCGCATGGTGCGCAGACCTCTCCTGCTGCCCGCTGCTCCCCTCAGCAGTGTACTTCAGTCCTTCTGCCTGCTCTGCTCCCTGCTCTGGCTCTGGTGAATTCTCTCACCCTCCTGCGCTTCTCACTGTACCCAGTACTTATATAAATAAATAAATAAATCTTTAAAAAAAAAAAAAAAAGACTGGGCAAGGCTAATCATCCAGAATATGTGGGACTACATCTCATCATGGGTGATAATGTGCTGAAAGATTAAGAAGCAAGTGGGCAAATGGAAGTAGTAAATGAATAAATATATTTATGAGAAACAAGAACAAGTTCTTTCTTTTGACTTTCCCCCAAAAAAACATATTTCTTCTTAGTAGCTGTCAAGCTAAAAATTTGTATAGGTTTTGAACATGTAATATATGAAGTACTTGGAAGTCCAATTGCTGTAGACACACTACAGTGCAGTGAGCATTGCACAATTCCATACATTTTTAGACTGGAAACTTTGATTGCCCCCTTTTTCCTCTAGGTTAGTCATGTGGAAGTGCTGGGGGCATGATAGTGCTATATTCTATGTCTGACCTCATCTGTGACACTTCTGCAATACACTTGTTTCCCTCAAAATCCACTTGCCCCACCTCTTTGGTTCTTTTGTTCATATCATCATCCATACTTTACATTCTGGGTGATGAACTCATCTGCTCTTTTGTTGTTCTTTTCATCCTTTTTCAACAGTCATCCATTCTAAAGTGTTAATTATCTGAAATGAGTAACATCATCTTTCACAGAATTATACTTGGACCATAAAATATTTCATAGTTGAAATCTTTAAACATCTGCCTGGGATGTTCAGCAGAAGTAAGTGTTCTCTGTTGTTCTCCTTTCACAGTTTGTGGAGATGAATGCACAGGCCTTCTTCTCGGTGACTTGGCGCGCCTGGAGCAGATGGCCATGACCATCAACCTCACTGGCCCGCTGCCTGCTCCATATAAAATGCTATATGGTCTTGAAAATATGACTCAGGAATTAAAGGTATGTTGAAGCAAGATCAAGGAAAATTTAGCAAAAGTTGCCCAAGAGGTAGTAGCTGTAATTGCTAAATTCTCTTCTCATTGCCCCAAATCAAGGCAAGCAGCTGTTAGAGAAATTCGAAGACTTCCTAAACCACTGTTTTTCATACTTGAGAACTATAATATACAGATTGCTATTAAGGGAAAAGAAGCTCATGTACCTCTAGTGTTGGGCCTAAATCAATTTTATTATGTTACTTAAATATGTACAAACATAAAATCAAGTATTAACTCATAACTCCATAAAACCAAAACAAATTAATCCTTACAAGACTCTAAGAAACCAATAAAATTCAAATTAAAAACATTAATATAAAATAGCAGATGATTTTTACTAAAAGTAAATTTTTGCTTGCCACAAGAATATGAGGCCAACTGCTTCCACACAGCTTCTCTTACTGGCATGCTCGGTTCTCCTACCTTTCCATTATTTGAACTAGAGAGCCCCTTGCAAAAGTTGCTGAAATGACATTTGGCCTCATAGACAAATGCCTGTGATTTATGTGCACCATCTGCCCTGGGAACAAACAGACATGCAAATGCAGGCTCTGAGACCCAGGGCCTGTGTCCACCTTTCAAGTGCCCACCCACACTTCCCAAAGTCACCATATTAACATTTCAATATAGTGTCTAAACTGAATCATAAGACTAAAAGTTTGTACTAGAGAACTAGTAGACATTTGAAAGTACTTCAACAAAAACTAATTAGAGAAACTCTATTCTAAAGCTTTGTTAAAACTGTCACTAGTTAACAGGATAGGCAGAAATATTAAGGAAATTGGGAGTTTAGTTGATGAAAAACAATGAAAGGTGACTACTTACACATTCTCAGTCAACTGTCAGATGTTTCCGAGAAATTCTGAGTATTTCCAGTATTGCGTTTGGTTCCCAGGTGTTTTCATGACTCTAGATGCAATCACTACCTTCAGGAAGCTTAGTGCCTATGTGGCTCAAAAAACATAAACTAATGATTAAGCTATTAGCAAAAATACCTCCGTACTCTGTGCTTTATAAAAATATTATATACTGTAGAGTACAAATATTGAAGAAATAGGTAACCACAGAATGCATCCTGGTGAGAGGATAATTTATGTTGGAACTTCCAATTTATGTTGGAAGGAAAGACACAGTTTTATTTTTGTAAGATTTATTTATTTATGCACACAAGTACTGGAGTGCAGGCCAGAGGTGCGGGAGGTGAGAGGATTCACCAGATACAGAGTGGGGAGCAGAACAGGAGGTTTGACTGAAATACACTGCTGAAGGGAGCAGCGGGCTAGACAGGAGAAGTCTGGTGCACCTTGTGGGTTGCTCCCTGGCTGGCTGGGGATGGAACTTGTACTGCAGTGGCTGGCAGTAACTTGATAGCACTGTGTCTTTAACCCCTGTGCCACCAGGGAGGCCTGGCACAATTTTAATAAGCAGAGAAATATCAATGAAGACTAAAGTAAGTGATAGTTATTCACTGGGCACTGGCAGACACCGTTCCAGGGAATATGTTGTTTAATCAAGACCATGACCTTTCAGATAATAATATGCCTATTTTCTAGAAGGCACCAGTAATGGCAAAAGCAAGAATAACTAGCATTTGTTGATGAGTAAGATAATTGTATAAAGACTAGACAATTAAGTAAAGATTTATGTATGAATTACAGAAACTCCAAAAAATTAGGAAGGAGTATTATATCATCTATAATTTTTATGGTAAGGAAACTGAAGTTACTTGTGAGATGCAGAGTCACGTGGCTTCTATGTGGAGAGGTGGGATTTAAATAGAGGCCTGTGAGGAGGAAACTCCTTTGCAAAGCTGAGAGAGAAAATCACATCCTTGAGAGGACCAAATCCACCAGTGGCATAGTCTTCCTGACTCCTGGTACACACATCCTTTTGCCACTAAATCTAAAAAAGCCACAAAAATAGAGGTACAGATGTGAATTAGGACTCTCTGCAGATGTTTGATTTCCCTTAAATTCCAGTCTTTCTTGATTCTGTGTTTGTGTTCTTCTTTAGTAATTCATAATATTGGGGTACTTGGGAACCATTTTTATATTTAAAATCTTTAAGCAAATTATGACTCTCTTTGCTCAATTCCTTTTACTTGTAAGTACCCCTGGGTTGTGGCCAGGCAATACCAGTAACTCACAAAGTTGTGCTTATGAAGATGTTGTAACAAGGGAAGCTGGAAATTATGGGGAATTTGGCAATGTCTCAATAAGGGGATATTAAGAATAGCTTATAGCATTTAGCTCACACTAGGCAATTTTCAAGGAAGCAGAGGGTTGCCCTGAACTGGGCGCTGTTAGAAAATGGAAGTAATTCTACAATTGAGTATTCTAATGAATCTAATCTAGAAGAAGGAGGCTAAAACTATGATTAATAAGGAGACAGTGGCCACCCATTTTAGTCAGGAAATGAAATTTTTGGGACTTTTGTGGTCTGCCCAGAAACCACGATTTTCCTATGCTTAGACAACACTATGGAGGGGGTCTCATTTTCTGTTTTATTCGTCACTGTCACAGATTGATCTGGTCTGATATGAGAGCCTATCTAGCTCCTGCCAAGGCTGAGGTTGGCTACTTAGTCAGGACCCAGCCACTGCCCCCTGTTAAGGGTTCCCGTTGTCTTTCTGTGTATTGTGTATCTGCTATTTAAATAGGAATCTTAAAGAATCAGTTCATCTTAACTTGGCCCCATACTGGCCATGTGATCTTCTGTAAATTTTTAAGCCTCATCAAGCCACAATTTCCTCAGACACAAAATCACCTCATAAAAATTAAATGAAAGAATTGTGAGAATTGTTGTAAGAATGAAATGAAAAAAAGACCTAGTAAAAAATAATTTTTAATAAATTATTGCAATTTGTATTGTTTGCCAGAATATTTTGTACAATACTTTGTGTAATAATTTCTATTTGTTTTGAAGGAGAGAAGGCTAAATTCTTGTATAGGAAGGAAAAATGCATTCTGTTAAATGTTCAACCCATGCACACTACAAGACCAACCACTAAAATGTACACAAAATGAAATCTTTTTCAGCACTTGCTCTCACCTCAGAGGGCTCCAGAAAGGCTTATTCAGCTGGCAGAGGGCAATCTGAACACGCTCGTGACAGAAATGAATGAGCTCCTGACCAGGGTAAGTTCACAAAATCACAAATCATCTTATAGCAGATAGATTATATACATGAAGGGACGTTGCTTCAATTTCTGAAATGCTAATACTGTTCTTCCTAATTCTCAACTAGATCCATGAAATAGATATATTTTTGACTTGCTACTTTTGTCTCAAATAAAATCCTGGAACTCAGTAGTACAAAATAAGTTCAGGATATTGGGAAGTATCGAGGATGATGACTAAAAATACAATGACTGTATTTTGAGAACTCTGTCAAGTAGCCTCCATGGAGAAGTTTCATCAATATTGAATTCCAAAAGCTCTGGCTTTGACTATGTGGAAAAAGAAAAGCAAATGAAAATCTGTAGTCTCTTTGATTTCATCATGAGATTTTTGCATTTTTGTACACATACAATCTGAATCAGCATCCCTCAGCAAAGAGGAAATCTTAATTGTAAAATTCCAAAACCTACACCAGGAGAGGTGTGAACCTATAAGTCATACACAGTGTTGTAAATAAATGTTACTTCATTAGAAAATAATACAATTTAAAAAAAATAATAAAGCCAGAATGTAAAGACCTTCTCAAGAACTGAAGTTTTAAACTTTCAAACCTGCAGGTGGTTAAGGTTGTTTTTGCTGACAGAGAATGAAAATAACATAAAGTCCGCCATCTTGTGGCCAGAAAAATGCATAAACACTAGCCTGTAATTTATAAAGATCTAGTTTGATTATGTAAGAGCTTTAAATGACAAAGAATTTTAGAACTAGGAAATTCTTACAAAGTGTTTTTTAAAAGAGATACCGCCCCTTGAAAAGGAAATGAATTAGTAGCATCATTCAATTCACTAATTTCAGGGACCTAAGAAGGAGCCAGTCTCTATATTCCCCCTGGTCCTATACCATTTCCACCTAACCTACTGCTGCTTTAAGAAATTTCTCACATGGAAATCACTTGAGTTTCTGAGCACTTCATGCTAAACAACAGCCCTCATGTTAGAACAGCATACCCAACACTTTCTCCGATCTGTGTACTAGCTATGTAGAATACAGGTTCAATATAGTTTCTTGCCAAATGTAGTTAAGCTTTAATTAGATAAATGGATCCAGTTATCTCATATTAATTGAATAGTTAATTATTATTTATTATTTAAATACAACTTAAAATCAAGAAATTTTGAAAGGATCATAGCATCAAACTCAGTTCAACAAACACATGCAAATATGCCTAGAAAACCCAAGTTAGGTGTCAGCAGGTTAAAGATAGAAATGAATCCCAGTATCTACTTTCAGGGAGCTTATAATTGTGTGTGTATGTGTGTGTGTGTGTCCACTTAACTGTATATATGGCAATATAAGGACAACTGCATGCAAATATATAATACAACATGAAATAAAATAAAAGTATGAGGAATACATACAAATGGAATGATTTAATCTGGTTAGAGGTAATTGGGGAAAAGTCCAGGTAATTGTCATGGTATTTTATTTATTCATTCATTTAATGAATACTTATAGAGGCTCTGCTGCTGTGTTGACATAAACTATTACAGAATGACAGACTGGGATTAAGGTGTACATGAAACTGATGTCATCATTGATTTCATCAAGTTGATTATAGCTTAATGATCTGAGCCTAAAGACACAAAATATATTCACTAGGAGAACCATATCTTTATTATTTCTTTATTATATCTTACATCCTTTCATATTTCCAGAAGACTCCCCCATACAAAAAAAAATTAAACAGACTTTCTATATTAGAAAAAAATATGGTTTAAAGCAAAACTGAGTTGAAAACTCAGGAGGTCCCATAAACCCCCTATCCTAAATATGCATAGCTCTCACCCTTTACCAACTTCTACCCTTACCACACAGTGGTACACTGGTACAGTAGATGAACCTCATTATCACTCAAAGTCCATAGTTTATTTAAGGGTTGCCTTTTGGTGTTGGGAAAGTTCTATGGGTTTTGATAAATGTTTAATGTCATGTTTCCATCTGTATCATAGATAGTAGTTTCACTGTACACCTATTCATCCCTTCCTCCTCCCCAAAACCTGGCACCCCACTGTTTATTCTCTCTATTGTTTTGCCTTTCCAGAAAGCCATATAGTTGGAATCATACAGTGTGTAGCTATTTCAAATTGGCTACTATCACTTCATCAAATATATTTGTGGTTCCTCCCCTGTCATTTCCTGGCCCTATAATTCATTTCTTTATAGCACTGAATAACATTTCCCATTGTTTGAATGTACCAGTTTATGTATTCATTTATCTACTAAGGGACATCTTGGTTTCTTTCAAGTTTGGCAATGTGAATAAAGCCACTAGAAGCATTTGTGTATAGGTTTTGTGTGGATGTAAGTTTTCATTTCATTTTAGTAAAAATCAATTGTTACATCATATGATAAGAATATCTTTTGTTCTATAGGAAATCACCAAATGTCTTCCAAAGCATCTGTGCAATTTTGCATTTCCACCAGCAATAATTCAGTGTCTCTATTGCTCCACATTCTCATCAGTATTTGGTATTATTAATGTCTTGAATTTTGGCTGTTCTAATAGGTGTATAGTAGTATCTCATCTTAATTTGAAATCCCCTAATTATATATGATGTGAGGCATCTTTTTATATGTTTATCTGCCACATAGATATCTCTGGTGAGATGTCTCTGCAGATGTTGCTATGGGTGAAATGTTCATGGTACCTCCAGAATTCCTGTGTTAAAACCCTGCTCCTCAAGGTGATAATACTAGGAGGGAAAGCCTTTGGGATGTGATTGTCATGAAAACAGAGGCCTCATGGATAGTATTAGTGCCCTTATAGAAGGGACCTCAGGGAGGTCTTTTGCCCCCTTCTTTACTATGTGAAAGAATGCTCTCTATGAACCAGAAAACAGATGATCACCAGAAACCAAATTTGCAGACTTGATCTTGTACTTCCCAATCTCTAGAACTATGAGAAATATATAAATCACCTCATATGTGATATTTTGTTATAACATCCTAAATAGGTTAAGATGGATGTTTCTTCATTTCTGTATTGTAGATTTACTTATTATTGAATTTTAATAGTGTTTTGTATATTTTGCACAACAGTCCTGTATCAGATACGTCTTTTGTAAATAATTTCTCTGACTAAGGCTGGCATTATCATTCTCCTGAGAGAGTGTTTTACAGTGCAAAAGTTTTAAATTTTATTGAAATCCAGCTTATAAATTATATTTTCATAGACCATGCCTTTGGTGTTTTATCTAAAAAGCCATCATCATACCCAAAGCCATCTAAATAGTCACCTTTGTTATCTTCTAAATTTTACAGTTTTGCATTGTACATCATCCAATTTGAATTCATTCCAATGCTAGTTTTAAAATAAGCCTTTTATTTTAGAATATTTTTACACATACAGAACAGTTTAAAAGATGACACAGGGTTTTCCCATGTACTCCATACCTCCCTTACCCCTACTATTAAAATCATAGTGTGGTACATTTATCACAACTAATGAACTGATGTAGATTCATTATTAACCAAAAACTGTATTTAATTCAAATCTCTTCAGTTTTATCTACTGCCCTTTTATTGTTCCAGGATCCCAACCAGGACGCTACATTATGTTTGTCATTATGGCCTCCTAACCTCCTCTAGGCTAAGACAGTTTCTCAGACTTTCCTTTTCTTTTGATTATTTTGACAGTTTTGACATGTCAGGTATTTCTTATATTTTGTGGGCAAGACCACAGAAATAAAGGGTCATTTTTATCACATCATATTTAACTCATGTAATCAGTATGTCTTATTACTGTTGATGTTGACCTCAATCACCGGGATGAGGTAGTGTTTGATAGCATTCCCACTGTGAAGTTACACATTTTCTCCCTTTCCATACTCCAATTCCATATTTATATGCCCACTATTCCAGATAGTGGAATACAAAAAGCCAGGAAATAAAACTGCTGAAAGCAGGGATCTCCTTGATAGAGTGATGATGGGGAGGGAATGGAAATTATCACTAGTGAGCCTTGTCCTTCCCACATTTATAATTGGAAACATAATTGTCATGGAGACCTAATACTGACATCAACACATTGAGTTATTTCCCTGTGGTCAGCTTCATTGATAATGATAGTTGAATGGAGACACATGGAATCATCACTGGAGGGCTAGATGACTTAAATATCCAACAGGATCAGGCTAAAACCACCGCTTTCTTTGTCTCACAGTTATGAAAGATCCAGTAGTTGGACCAGCAAATGAGGAATGCAACTGCCATGATTTCCAGTTATCCATGGCTACAGTAGGGGGGCAACTTCCTAAGCTAGGACATTGGAAATCCCTGGTGTCATATCCCCAAAGTTTATGATGTAATTGATTTGAGTATGAGCACTGGCACTTTCAAGAGCTCTCCAGGTGACTCTGATGCCAGCCAAAATTGAGAACTATTGTGCTGATAGTCATCTGGCGACTCTGACTTCCCTTTGTAAAGTGCTTTGATTGGTATGACCAATCCTTTTGATGCTTCTTTTTTTCTGTTTTGTTGGCAGACCAGCTGCTTTATGATGAATACATTCTATATATTTGTTAAAACATTTGGCATGTTTTGTTTCGCATTGCTGTTGAGGAAGCTGTTCTCTCTCCTGTAAGTGCTTAGGCTGTGGTTGCTTTTTTTTTTTTTTTAAGTACCAGTTTTTTTTTTTTTAAAGATTTATTTTATTTATTTATTATATAAGCACTGGGTACAGTCAGAAGCGTAGGAAGGTGAGAGAATTCACCAGAGCCAGAGCAGGGAGCAGAGCAGGCAGAAGGACCGAAGCACACTGCTGAGGGGAACAGCGGGTGGCAGGAGAGGTCTGCGCGCCATGTGGGACCCTCACCATCTGCTGGGGATCGAACCGGAACCGCAGAGGCTGTGGGCAGCTTCGCAACCCAGCGCCCAACCGCTGCGCCACCAGGGAGGCCCGGCTGTGGTTGCTTTTTAATGGAGAAACCTAGATCTCTAATACCCCTTGGTAAATAGAA